AATTTTATTCTAACCCGGGTTTGACGGGTAATCTTTGTACCCGGGTAGACCCGTCTGTCTACCCGGGTGACCCGCGGATCTACCTGTTGGGTAACCCGGGTTGTATTTTTTAAGACAGGTTCAATCACTACAATTGTTTTATAAAATGCCTCCGGCACCACATAAATTTTGCCCATATTTTGTACTTACTAAAAATACCAAAAATAAAGGAAATGCAATTGCCATATGTTTTAGCTGTATTAATAATTGTGATGGTGGGTTAGAAGAAGCTAAATTGAGAGCAGAATGTTGTCCAGCAAACAAGGCAAAGTTATGCCGTGCATATTTGGAAAAGTGTGAAAATTTTAAAAAATCATTTCCTAAAGATATAGTTGAAGAAATTCTTGCTTTACCGGTGCCTGAAGACAAAATTAATAGTTCTGAAGGTTTGTAATAGTAATTAAGTAAAATTTTAAAATATAATTTACTAAAATATTTTTTAATAATTAGTTGATAGCGAATCTATTTCTAATTATATACTATATATTACTGTATTGTACTGTACGTACTGTACGCGAAAAAAATCGGGCTATTATATAAATGGTACATCACTACGTAATACTATTGGAGATATAAAAAGGGTTCTGTCTCGGGACTTATCAAACACCCGGTATATCTATATACTGCATATACATAGTTGACTAAATACTCCATTGGCTTACGGGTGGCCCACGGGTAGACCCACGGGTTTGTTCACGGGTATACCCGCGGGTCAACCCGTCCAAGCCTACCCGGGTGGACATAATCATAACCCGGATACCCGACCCACCCAGGTATACCCGGGTCAGTCCTACCCGGGTTCAATCACTAAACAATTGTTTGCAGATATGATAGTTTTTTTTTTAAAAAAAAAAAAAGAAAAAGACTATTATTTATAATTATATAAATTTTCTTTTTTTAAAAAGAGTATCATATACTATTATATACTATCATAGTAGGTTATTAAAAAAAAGTATATTTGCTATCTTTACGGATTATTAAAAAAAAGTATTTTTTGCTATTGTAAAAAGTAAAAAAAAGTATATTTGCTATCATTATAGATTATTAAAAAAAGTATCTTTCGCTATTGTAGAAGGTGAAAAAAAATATATTTGCTATCATTACGGATTATTAAAAAAGTATCTTTCGCTATAGTAGAAGATAAAAAAAGGTATTGTTTGCAGCCATGGTTGATAAAAAAATAATTAATGCATTAAGCGTTATAATAAAACAAATACATAGTACGTACGTACGTACGTACGTACTGCCAATTTACAAATTTTTTATTAAGGTTAAAGGTATTTTTAAATATCACTTAAAATATTACACAACATCTTATAATTCTATTGGTTGATCTACATATAAGTCACATCAATCATGACCTGACTTAGGTCACAAACGGTCATGATTGTCACGTCACTTTGTTATTTCTAATTTGACCGTTATGACCAATGACCACAGGTCATGTGCATAATGACAAGAGTCATTTAAAAAAAGGCAAGATGACCTGGTCATTTACCAACACTGTGCCTGATGGAGCCTTGATTCTTTCTGGAGATCATGCAGGAAATAATACGTAGTAATACTTAGTATTACCTATTATTGATGTATTACAACCGGCAATAAATAGCTTAACAAATATTTCTTTGCGAATTTTTTAGTACGTATAAAAGTTAACCTTACTCTAACCTTAAACTAGATTAATTTTTGTTTTACAATTTATATATTATACGAATTTGTAAATCAATTAGTGCCCGTGTACAAACACTGTGTAAACTAATAAATTTCCTTTAATTTTACAATACGTATTACAGAGTTAAAGTAAAAACTTTTAATCAGATTTACTTAGTCGTCAAAAAGTCACCAATTAAAGTTAAAAAAGAAATTTTTACGATTTTTTCAAGATTTCTAAATTTTAAAATTTTTTTCTATTACCAAATTTAACGAGAAGTTTATTTTAATTTATTAGCTTATTTATTAAATTTAGTCAAGTATGAATACGTATTCAAAGCTTTAAAAAAAATTTTCTGGCAAACCATTCATCCCGATGGATTCCGACCCGAAAATTTGGAAACCTCCTGTACATCTCGGTTGTTTCCAAAAATGAAACAACTATACTAATTGAGTAATAAAATATTTATTTCGTAAACCATAGAATCTGTACACTAAAGTGCCACGTTGTCACGTGAAACCATAAAAATTCAGCGATCTTTACAATATTATACGTACAATAAATCTTATGACGATGTTTTTAAACAAGGTAAGAAAAGATCTTCGTTAACCTTAAAACTTTTCTTTTGTAAATACTGTAGGTTTCGAAGTGAAGTGTTACAAGATCTCCGTTCTGCTTTCGTGTAACCTTTTTAAATATACAATAGGCTTATAAACAGATATGCCCGATCGCTTATAAAGATAAAACGTTTACTGCAGATTAAGAGTAATTCTCATTTCTTTCTTTCCTCTGCCAAAACACGTGACCGTTGCTATCGAATCTTTCTTCGTAATATATCGATAAACTTATCAATCATTGATCCGCTTTAAATAATCGGAATCAACCTCAATCCTTTCATTCTACCAAAAAAAAAAAAAATGATACCAAAATTACATCCATCATATCGATTTTTCTTAATCCTTCTTGGAATAAATTTATTATGCAATGATCTACTTGGAAATTATAATTCACAAGGCAGTGTAAAAGCATGGACTATATTCAATCCCGCGTCTGCAGATTATGATGACGAAAATACTTTTGCTCCAAGACCAATGGATTTTGATCGTACAGATATTCCTAAAAACATTCTTATCGGATCTTACATTGGGGGTAATTCATTCGTTTAGAGAATATTTTCATTAAATTTATCTTTTTTATTTTTTTAAATTTTCTTATAAATATATAAATTTATAAGGAAT